ATTTTGGCCAATTCTTCATGAAAGAACTTGTGTAATTGTAGGCTGTTTTGGTCGCACAAGCTTTTTCAACTCTGCCCACAAGTTTTCTATAGGATTGAGATCAGGGCTTTGTGATGGCTATTCCAAAACACTCACTCTGTTTCCCTTAAAGCACATTTTAACTAATTTGGCAGTATGCTTAGGGTCATGGTCTGCTTGGAAGACCCATTTGTGGCCAAGTTTTAATTTTCTGGCTGATGTCTTGAGATGTTGCTTTAGTATTTTTACATAATGTTCTTTCTTCATGATGCCATCTGCTGTGAAATGGACCAGTCTTTCCTGCAGCAAAACAGGAAAAGATCAGAAACTTTTTTTTTTTTGATTCTGGCTTGCTGATTTTCTCATGTTGTCACACAAGGGAAAAGATCAGAAACTTCCAAAACCTTGACGCTATCATCTGAGCTTTTTCAGAGGAATAATAATCTTATTGTATGTAAACTTGACTTTCAAGAAAAGTTAAACCAATTTCTTAAAAAATATCTCTATTAAACATAAAAGAAACAAATTTGATAATCCTAACTTAACTAAAAGAGCAAAAGGATAGTTGGTTTCGGTTTTGGTTGGCACTGGAATTGGAACATGCACGTTGCAGATGTGAGTGCACGGTAAGTGTTCTCAATTATTGTGTGCTCGTGTCTTACTTTCAGTCTTCTGTTGTGGTGGTTCATGTGCTTTAGTGTTGTGTTTCATGTGAACACGCAGTTAATAAGTCCTGTTTGTAAGTGAGCACATGGCTTTTGCTGTTTCTTTGTGTCATTTGCTCCTGTCTGTAACCCACCCTTTGAGACCTCTGTTGTAAAAACATTATTTACAGTTTATTTAGGTCACCTATTTGTTTGTTAATTATTTCTCCTTATAGTCTCCTCATGTCAGCTGTCCTGTGCCAGTTCGTCATCGTTCTTCATGTCGAGTGATTTCCAGTCCAGTCTAGTTTTTTTGGTAATGTTTTTCCCTGTCTCAGGTTATTTTTGTTGTCTTTTTAATTTATTTTTTAAATTAATAAATAACCATTTTAATTCCTTGGATGCTGGATGCTCATCCTTTCCTTATTATTAATTATGCAACTACTAGTTTTTAACAGTTAAAGTTATAATATTAACCTGCAGTTATATAGCATATAGGTAATATCCACGTGTACACGTTTTATGAAGTGTATTTGTATATTAAGAGTGGGTGTTGTCCTCAAAGACTTTGATGGTTGGCATCATCTATTCACTGTTCTTGGATCCCATCAAACAGACTATCATGAACTTTTGTAAATCTTGTTGCATGATTCCTTTAAAATATCACACCCAAACATCCTCTCATTCACTGGATCCTTTAAAATTTCTACTACAATAAATTTTGTGATTCAGTGATGGGAGAAAACTGAAAAAGTTGAATTGGGGCAGTGACCCAGAAGGGAATAAGGTTTAAGGGGTTAGCGTAGTGGAGGCCTGCTTTTACAAACTGTTTGAGCAAAATTTATACCATCATGGAGTGATAAACTATTGAAAGACATTCTTGCAAGATCCCTGCCTTCATTGATGCCGTGACCCGGGGTGCTGTGAACATTAGGGGTTGAGTGTAATGGAGGAACATAAGAGATGTGTGATTAAAGCTCATGTAATTTGTGTCATTCTTAAGTCCATGAAACATTAAGGAGATGATAAAAAAGATGGGTGTGAACACCAGACAGACAACAGCCGACTGAAACAAGAAAGTACGTTCAGCATCTGCTTGAAAGGATGTATCTGTATTCTCATTCCACCAAAAAAACAACCAGACCTAGTGCTGCATACATACAAACAATAAACAAAGCAGTCTTTAGTGCACTTTCATAGTATGCCCCTCCACAGAGGGATTTACTTGTGTAAATATGTCTGATGACCTGGTTTTCCATATCATTTGTAAATAAAGAAATGTGAAAAAACTACACCCAGCTTCTTTGTGTTCCCCCTTCCCGCTTAGTTTCATGATTTCCCTTTTTTGTTCTTGCGCATTTGTAGCTGAACAGCCAATCAGAGTTCTCTCTTTCATCGACTATTGGTGCCGATTCTACTTGCTGAATTGGACAACCTCCCACTAAAGTGAGCCGACGAGGGAATATGTGGAACTCCCCAAAAAAACTAGCCTGAAAAAGTAGGTAATCACACACAAATATATTTTAGGAATGTCTTGCATTTTAACTAGGGTTAAAGATTATGATAATGAAAATAATGCAGTTAGATCTACCTTTTACTCTCTAGCTTTCATGCTTGAAGGGATACCACAGGATGTATATAATAAAAACCAGATATGTACAGTATATTACATATACTTTTACTAAGTGCAGGAAAAACTATAACAATATTTTGGATGAAGACACACCCTTAAACAATAGCACAGTGGAAAGAAAAACTTGAATCCAAATATAGAATATATGACTGCCTAACTTCAATTGACATTGGATATTTTTAAACAAAGATGGGCACCTGTTACTATGTATCTGAACATGGCAACAGGACATAGTATTTCCAGCTGTATCCTTTGAAATTTAAACTTATGTATGTGTTTTTTAGCTGCTGTTTACTGCTGTAAAATGTTTTAATGTATAAAAAAATAGCCTGACAAATGCTCATAGATGAGCCAACACTACCAACTTGGACACACCTGGCCTCAACCCATACTTAAAATGTTGAGTCAAATTCTGCTTTAAATGCTATGAGTTCAAGAGAAGAAGGACTATATTGGTGCTGTGACCCAGAGGAGGGGTGAGTGTAATCGAGGCCAGCTGGTAAGAGCTGTCCTGATAAAACCAACACGCTCTTAAGGCAATTTGAAACTATTTGATTTATTGGCTAATTCGTATGACTTCCTACAATCCCATTGGTAAAATTGAGTACGATTTGCTCATCCCTCAATGATGGTTGGGTTTAGGGTTTGGATGCCATGGCTCCTTTTTAAAATTGTACACTTAAACAAATTATCTACTTAACTGACACAATGTAAAATAGTTACATTTCCTCGTGAGATCAGGCTGGAAAAAACTGGCCTCAAGGGGCTCTTTAGTGACTGACACTAGGGGCTATGGCCTTTAGCCCCCTTAATAGCATGCCTGACTCTCATGCTGAAAATCCACTCCCATGAGTGAATTCCACTGTAGTAGTGCGAATAGAACTGGAAGGGTCACACTGGTGCTGTGACCCAGATCCGAGTGAGGTTTAGGGTGATGTGTGTAACCAAGGCCAGTTCGTAAGAGCTGTTCAGGTAAATCTCACTCCCCTGGCCTCATAAGTGACACTACAAGCAGTGATCATTGGCATACTTGTTAGTGCACCCACCTTTCATGAGAGGCTTAATGTAATGTGCATTTTTATATAGAGCATTTTTGTGTTTGGCTACACAATCATGAGGGGGTTTCTCCACACCACCACCAGTGTGCAGCAATGGGTGATGCTACGGCAGCCACAGGACAATGGCGCCAGCGCTCACCATACACCAAATACAGGGGGAGTGGAGAGACGTTGATAGAGCTAATTCAGTGGATGGGGATGATTTGGAGGCCATGACGGGTAAGGGCCAAAGGAGAGGGGTTTTGGCCAAGACACCCAGACACCCCTTCTCTTTATGAGAAATGCCATGGGATTTTAAATAACTGATTAATAAACCGACAGTTTCTTATTTTATGTTGATGTATATTTAATTGATAAAATATTTAATGATCTTGCACCACCACCCCTCAAACAAAGTGTGATTGTTGGCAAGGACAATATAAGACAGACTAGGTCACCGGTTAGAGGTGATTGTTCAGTTAGGGCCTACTCACACAATGCTATACGAACCGTGCCCAGGCCCGTTTCCCGGATCCATTGAGAAGTGTGAGTGCGCTGAATCGGGCTCACTTCACTTGGGCTTATTTTCGACATAACTAAAGAAATCTCCACTGTGCTGAGCGAGAGTGCTTCTGATCAGCGCATCATCGATGACGTAAGCGTGCACAGGCCCGAATGAAATGTGAGTGCGGGCCGTCGGGGTAGACGGGAAGAGGGACAAGCGTGCTTTGGCCCGGTTCAAGGCAACTATACATAGTGTGAGTACGCCCTTAAACTTAAGATAACTGCTTTGGGACAATCAGTTTTTTAGTTAGAACAGCAGAAAGATCGAATAACATACCAGTGTATATCAGAGAGAGTATCACTTTTAATCATTTTAAAACTAAATAATTAAAAAAATATGCAGCCACTGATTTGATTACATTTTACTGATAATGATGTATTGCATGTATTGTATTGTAAGTGTATAATGTATTATTTTTTACCATGAAATTTGTTACAACTTCCTGCCCAGGGACTACAGATGTAAATTAGCTTTATAGCTAACTCTGGCACAACATGTCATGTTAAACATTGTCCCTGTATAAAAAAAATAATAATAAAATAAATAAATAAATAAAAATAAAAAAACACAGAGAGTCAGGACCTCGGTTTGACATCTCATCCGAAAGACGGCGCTCACTGACAGGATGGTGTCCCCTTCACTTTACTGGGGCATTAGGATGAGCGCCCCCTGCTGGCATCACTAACCCCACTTCCAACAGCAACCTAGTTTTCCCATGTGGTCTCCAATCCTGGTTCTGACCAGTCTCAGCCCTGCTTAGCTTCAGTAAGTAACTGGTTTTGGGCTGCAGGGTGATATGGCTCTGGCTACATTGGGGCAACTCCTAATTGGAGCAGCGTGAGTGCAACTGGATGGGTTACACCTATAATATCTTACGAACAGTGCCACCTGTTGCTCATGTTGTGTAGCAGCAGTTCCTTGTAATAGTGACCAAAATCCAAAATAATTTTCCAGTCTGAGCGGAAATGCTCTAGTCCACACAGAAAAATTTTGCACCCCTTAAACCTGTATTTCAATTCCATCATTGCTTTTAACATATAGTTTTGCCATTTATCCAGCACTGATATATTTGCCCTTTCAAATCCCATTTCATGTGAAACAGATTTTTTTTTTTTTCCATTGACACCATATTTCTTATCAATAAATGTCCTTTCATCAGTGGCTTCCCGTGCCTGGCTCTCCTTGACGAACGTAAAAGTGATGAAGGCCCTAAAAGAGGGCTTTAATCTCTTGAGCATTCCTAATGAGTTTTCCTCTACAATTATTTGATAAGAGCGCAGACGGGACTGTAGGCAGTGTGAATGATCCAGTACCTGTGTGTTCACACACCGTCATGCATCCTCAAAGACACTTACATGTGTGCGCCCCCTTATAGAAAATAAGATTGCCGTGCACAGCAGATAGAGGAAGATGCTAACATAATAAAAAATGACAGAAACACCTGAAAAAACAGGCGCTAAAACACATGTGGTGTAGAAACATGCATTGACTAACCACACTGAGGCCCAGCTGTTCTCGCTGCAGGTAATCGAGGTTTCTGCGCTCCAGGCTGGCCAGGTAATGTTGCAGACGCGAATAGGTGTAGGGGTAGCAGTATGCAAACTGATAAACATCATCCTCTCGGTCGAAACAGAAGGCGAAAGACATCACGTAGTTCCTCCGATGATCAGGGCAGCGGTAGTAATACACATTCTTGGCTGGAAGTCTTTGCCTGTGAGAAAGAAATAAAGAAAAACAATGGTAATAAGATGTGCTCTATTTGCTTTCTCAACAAATATCCATTGGTTAATGTGATGTTGATATGAGAAATCAAAAGTTTGAGTTCATAATCTTTAATCATCAGTTCTCGTTTTATGTAAGCAAGGCTGCATATGTAGGAAAATAATATTAATCAGCCATAGCATCAACATCACAATTCAATCAACAACTGCATTATCTTCTGTTTAATGTTCTGTTTTACTTGGAAATTTCTTACATGACTGATGACTGAAGTTCAATGAGCTGCAAATGCAAAAGTCAAGCGAAAATAAAACAAAGATCGTGAAAAAGGTGACGTATAGAAAAAAAATAAAATAAAAAAAATAAAATAAAAAATAATAGAAAAAAAATTAATAAAATAAAAAAATTAAAAAATGAAATAAAAATTAAATTAAATAATAAAAAATAAAATAGATAAGGAGATAATAAAAAGCAATGACACAGGCTAATTATTAAAATAAAATAAAATAAAATAAAATAAAACAGATAAGGTAATAAAAAGACTTAATGACACAGGCTGAAAAATAAAATAAAATAAAATAAAATAAAATAAAATAAAATAAAATAAAATAAAATAAAATAAAATAAAATAAAATAAAATAAAATAAAATCCAGAACTGAAAAGCTACTTGTGATGCAAAATAACAAAGTCAAATAATGACAAATAAAACTTTACACAGTAAGGGGTAGATGACACCAAATGCACTTTTCTATTCTAAAAACGCGTAAAAAAAAAAAAAGACACAAATTCAGGGTATCAGGGTATTCGCAAGTCGTCAACTGTCCGCAGAGAACACTATTCAAGTTTTGCCATGCATATTTCATATTAAATAACATTCAAATGTGGGCATCTGGTGTGCGATACTTCCAACCGTCATGTGTGCGCCGAGCAGCAAATCCGGTGCGCAACCCGCTAAACACTGCTGTCACTTAAACAGAAACCTTGCCTCTGCTTTTATCTGTTGCACTTAATGTGCTATATTGGCACTGATCGCCAGTTACACACTAGTGGACCAATCAGAACAACTCGGAGGCAGGGTAAGAGTTGCAAGCTTCTGTGTAGCAAGTTAAAATGGCAACATGGCGGAACCACCTCTGAGCTCTGTAAATCACGTTTACAGTTTGACGGTTTGGAATGAATACATGTATTATTACATGCCTAATATAGATAAAATATCTTATTTTTGCCTTTGCTTTTAACCTGTCGTTCATTATATTCTTTTACTGTAGACTGGAAATCCTGGGTTGTAGCTAGAGGGCATAGGCTGCATAAAACATATGCCAGAATAATTGGCAGTTCATTCTGCTGTGGCAACCTCTGAAAAAGAGACTAAGCTGAAGGAAAATGAAGGAATGAATGAGACTGGAAACCCAAACTGATCAGTCATCCACATCAGCATTCAGTGCTGTTCAGTTGTCTCTCTCTCTCCTCTTAAAAAAATACCCCATCTAGATGAAGGTAAACACAAGCAGCAAACTGTAAACAATGAGCGTTTCTGCAGTGCACAGTGAGAAGAGTGAACAATGAAAGCGATGTTATTTGCATATAAAATGATATACTGTGCTGTTAATCAGTTTTATGTGGAGCCGCTGAAAGTAAATCTGCACATCTGCAGAAAGAGAGAGAGAGAAAGAGAGAGAGCAAACAGCAGTGAAGGACAGGCAAAGAACACAGGACTGAAGGCAATGGAGGGAATAACAGAGGAGAAGATGAGAAAGAGAGGAAGATCCGACTGACTGTGGGACAGAGAGAGAGATCAGATGGAGATGCTATCAGTATGGACAGAAGCTTCCACAAGGCCAGACTGATAAGAGAGAGGAAACAGCTCTCTGAATTCAGCCTCCAGTTCTTCCAGATCACTCTTTTCTGCTGAAGAACTCGCATACTCACTGTACACAACTGATGGAGGACTGGGGGAGTTTCTTTGTTTGAACGATTGACAGTTATAAACACACAGCTGTTCCCTTATCTTCAGTCAACCACGCGCATAAATACAGACAAACACAGAGATGTATATAGTGCAAGTCAAAATCATGAGGGTATATTGAAAAAAAACAAATCCTATTTAAAGCTGGGACTATAAACTTTTGTTAGGATTAGAAACATTTTAAAGTAAAAGAAAGTTGAAACCATTTAGACTTTTGCACTGGGGTAAATAATCATTTCACAATTAAAATAAACAACAATAATATTAAAGGGATGGTTCCCCCCAGATGAAAGTGTACTCACTATTTACTCTACTAAGTGAATCTTTCTTTTGTTGAACACAAAACAAGATATTCTGAATGTTGGGGGGGAAAAGCAACCACTGACTTTCATAGTAGGAACAAAAAATACTGCGGAATTAATGGCTGTTTTTGCTCACTTGTACATTTTTGAAAATATCTTTATTATCTTTACTATACATATTATTATAGAATTGTCATTTTTGTGTGAACTACCCCTTTAAGGTAACACAACTTAAACCTTTAAAATTATTGATATTTTGTTGTAAAAAATAATATTTCAATTAAATATTTAAATATGATATATCCTATACTTTTATTTATTTAAGAAAAAAATATATACATTTAGGCACTTATTATGGATAATAACTACTTCTGAACAGTTATTTTATATTGCAATCACACACACACACACACACACACACACACAAACACACACACACACACACACACACACACATACACACACACACACACACACACACAAACAATATTACAACTTGTACTGTTTTTTGATTAAATAAATGCAGCCTTGATGAGCAACATTGAAAATAGATGCATCCTTGGTGAGCAAATTTTAAAAAATCCTTCTGGCCCCAAACTTTTAACCGGTAGTGTATGTAAAATAAGTTTAAACAACACAATTCTTGATTTTTTGGGACAACATAGTTGTTTTATGTTTAGTCTACTTAAATGTGTTAACTTAATCGATTTGTGTTGGGACAACCTGATTGAATGTGGAACCCTGCATTTTTTACTGTGCAGTTTGGAACATTTACCTTTGGCCCACAGCCCTCAATCAAATTTGGGTTTCGGTTCTTCATAACAAAATATTTGGGCACCCCTGGTTTAAATGAGAGTGAATAAAAGATAAATAAAGACGAAAGACTATAAACTGAAATAAAATAAATAGGAGGGAAAATGAAAGAAAGAAAGAAAGAAAGAAAGAAAGAAAGAAAGAAAATGTTGCATTACTGCAAAATGTTTAATTAAATAAATGTCTGATTTTAAATCTACACTGTGAATGATCTATTAAATACCAAAAGACTTCAGCGGAGGCAGGTGAAATTTTACTATATTGGCACTGATCGCCATTGTGTTAAAAAGGAATTATGTTTTTATTCTAATAAGTTCATCATGAAAAAAATATATAAATTATATACTGTACATATTACATTATTGAATGCAATTAATAATATGAACTAAATTAACAAAATTACCCATGGACACTAATAAACACTCAAAAAATATATATATTGCTACTTGTTCAACATACTTATGTAAAATGAACTTAAACAACACAATTCTTAAAACTGCACTTACATGCACTTAAATGTGTTAACTTAATCGATTTGTGTTGCGACAACCTGAATGAATTTTGCAGAACCCTGCAGTTTTTTACAGTGCAGTTTGGTATGTTTACCTTTAGGTCCTCTATAACAAAATTTTTGGGCACCCCTGGTTTAAATGAAAGAGAATAAAGTAAAAAAAAAATACAATAAAATTCATTATACACTGAAATAAAATGGAAAAGGAAAGGGCAGAATATATATTTAGCATTGCCTAATAAACTACATGCTTTAACACAGTATTTTGCTACTGCTGCATGTACACCTTTAAAGCTGAGCTATAACTATACACTCCTAATTTCTGGATACCAGGACTACTCCACGTGCTATCTAGTCAAGCGGTTTACAGAAATATACACACGCTCCTTGGTGTGTTTCCAGTAATAGTGAACCCCTCGGGTGCAGCGTTGTGATTGGCCATTTAAAAGAGCCTGCTCCACCCTGATGCTCATTAGGAAGCCCATGAGCAAAAAACAGCTAAGTAGAACTATGCAAATCTGAAAGCAGTGATGGTGGTTACACAGCATAACAGAGCATCATCTACACACACACAGACACAAGCACATACACGCACTCCTCTGCGACCTGAACAAAGTGAACCGCTGAGGCGAAATGAAAGTGAATTAGCTTTTCTCTGTGGAGGAAAAGACAGCAAATGAACGATCAAGCTGAGAAATGCTCTGGGGGACTTGGACGGCACTGTTATCTCTACACGTCTCCAAAGAGTGTTAACACACAGGACAGGTGCCTGCTCGGTCCAAGACACACACTCACAGACATGCATTTAATGACCTCTAATGCATGTCAGCATCAGAGACACATAGAGTTTATCATCAACATGTTATTGTCGATTCACATTTTAACATGCTCCTGTACTTATTTAAATGTTTATTGTTTTTATATAAGCATATACATTTAGGTATTTCTTTACGGATAGTAATTTATTTACACATTCTTATAAATACTTTGCAAAAGAATGCCATTTTTCATTTAGATGACTCAATATACAACTTTGCTCAAAAATGAAATAATAATAACAATAATAATAATAGTAATAAAAATAATAATATTAGTGCAGCACGGTGGCGCAATGGGTAGGAAGAGGATCGCTGGTTTGAGCCCCGGTTGGGTCAGTTGGCATTTATGTGTGTTTGTATGTTTATGTGTGACTTTGCATGTTCTCCCTGTGTTGACATGCGGTATAAGTTAATTGAATTTCGCTAAATTGGCTGTAGTGCATCTGTGTGAATGCAAAAGTCTATGTGTGTTTCCCGAGTTGCGGCTTGAAGGGCATTCGCTGCGTAAAACATATGCTGGATAAGTTGGCGGTTTATTCTGCTGTGGCTAACCTCTAATGAATAAACGAACTAAGCCAATA